CAACTTTACTCAGTGCTCCCAAGTGGAAGGATGTTAAGAAAGTACTCTGTAGAGGAATTTGTGTGCTCTTATCTTCCTTTGCCATTTCAGAAGGATATTCTCACGGCCTCCTAGTAACTGTGATCGTGATTTCAAGGTAAAGAATGGGCAGACAGTAAAGACTTATGTTGGTAGTACACTTTCCTTTACTTTTCCTCTCAAAAACAAGAGAAAAGAACCCCCCCCCCCAACCTCCTATGGGTAAGCATATGAGTAAATCTAGATTCAGGATCCAATAAGATCACTCTCAGATTTCCAGATTTCACTTTTAGAAATTTGGGTGAAATTCTCATGCCAACAAGCATTGTCAAGTGTGATCAATACAATAGGTTTAGCATTTTCTTTAAGCAATAAACAGTGCGAGGGTCTGGAGGTTTATAAAGATGAGCAAGCACAGTCCCTTTTTCCAAGGAGTTTATCTTCCACCCACAGGAGATAATAAAATGACACAGACATTTAATAAAGGAGACACCTTTCAGAGTTTACCATCCTCCTACGTGGAGAACTAGTCCCCCTTCCCTACCCTCAAGGTGAATCTGTGCAGCCTACAGTGAGAATCTCTCCCTTCTGGCCAGAGATGATTGGATTAAAGGTCTAGGAACATGTAACCAAAACTGCACCAATTAGATTTCTTCTCCCAGTAATATAAAATTAGAATTCAAAGGTGCTAATGGGTCTCTGCTGTCTACTGAATTAAGTGTAGATAAGCACTGGGTTGGACATTTTTGACCATGTACCTGTGGCAATGCAGAGAAGGCATCTGGAGAAAGAGGAAAAACTGAGGCAGGCATGTAGATGGCTTTCCAGTTCCTGCTTTTGGACTCATGGAATCCTTAAGATATTCCTGCATTAAGAGCCTTGGTCAAAACAACTGCAATACTGTACCACCATAAAGGCCAACAAATGAGTATAAACATGCTAAGAGGGCTAAAGAAGGAAAGATAGCTGGTTGTGAAACAGGTAGGATTAGGAGTAGTAAAACATTTCATGAAAAACTTTGACAATTTGAGTCCACCTTAAATTATGGGTATGATTATAATATGAAGAAACGAGATAAGATCATTTACAAGTGAAAGGAATCATAGAGGGGAGAGAAAAATTGGGGGCCATGTTGCAAGATGCACAGGAATGGTTATGTCTTCTTGTGAAAATTCAGGAACTCTTTGACTGGCTTCTATCCTCACATGAGCTATAACAAATAGTGCATTCAAGGTCCTTTTTCTACTTGAAAATAATTCATGTATCAGTCCATTCTCGTTGGCTTCCCTCTAGCTATTTTGCTTTAAAAAAAAATTACAGAGGCCATTCAGAAAAATTCCTATATTCGATAACGTTACTCCAAAAGCAGTAAAGTAACTAATCATGCAATGCTGTAATTTTCAATATAAATTCCATTCTTGTTTCCTTATTTTAGGATAGGTGGCAAATAAACATTTCCCAGTTGCATGAGGTGAATCATATACAGTTCATTCCCAGGGTGCCTGGGTGGCTCAGTTGGTTGCTTAAGCATCAGATTCTTGATTTCAGCTCAGGTCATGATCTCATGTTTGAGCTCCCCATTGGGCTCTGTGCTGACAGTGCAGAGCCTGCTTGGGATTCTCTCTCTCCTCCCCTCTCTCTGTCCCTCCTGTGCATTTCCTCTCTCTCTCTCTCTCAAAATAAATAAATAAACTAAAAAAAAAAAAAATTCCATCCTAACTTCAGTCTGGGGAAATCTGTTTGGCTCTGTTGGCCCACTTCTCAATATCTATGTCTATGGCCTTCAGATGTAGCAGGTGACCGATTTTGAGGGCCACCAAATGATTTTCTGGGAGAAGAGATATTTTGATAAATTTTAAAAAACACTAAAAAGGGGATTGGGGGGGAGTATATATGTACCTATTGTGGTTTAAACTACCATTTTTCACAAAATATTAAATGTGAATATACTTATAAAACTTTTATGAACTGTGCAGTTGCAAGGCATTACATAAATAGGCATATTATACACTTTTATGTGTTTATAAGTACAGGTAACTCTTGAACAACACAGGTTTGAACTTTGTGGGTCCTCTTATACATGGATTTTTTTTTCAATAAATGCAGTACAGAACTACAAATGTATTTTATTTTTCTATTGATTTCCTTAATAGCATTTTCTTTTCCCTAGCTTACTTTATTGTAAGAATATGGTATATAATGTGTACAACATCCAAAATATGTGTTGATAAACTTTATGTTATCTGTTAAGGCTTCTGCTCAATAGTAATCTATTAGTAGTTAAGTTTGGGGGGGAGTCAAAGTTATATGTGGATTTTTCACTATGTGTGTGTAGGGGGGTCTGCACCACAACCTCCTCCAAATGTCTTTGAAAACATAGAAAAAGATGAAATTTGAAACATTAAAAATAGGCCTGAGTCAATATACTTGAGAGGATTTTCTAATAATCCTTTCCTTCGTCTATTCATATAGTCAACAATTTTCTAGATGACTATTATGTACCAGACTGTTCTACACCCAGGGAATATAGTGATGAACAAAACAGATAAAGTCCCTGCCTTCATGGAGCGTCTATTCCAGTGCGAGAAGACAAAGTAAAGACAGAACAATTTCAGAGTGCACAAAGTATTTGGAGAATAACTAAGCAAGGTGAAGGAGTAGAAGGTGATAGATACACTTTTCAGATGGAGTGGTCAAGGAAGGCTTCTTGGAGGAGGTGACATTTGAACAGATGCCTGAATGAAGTGAGGGTGGGAGTCATGATAATATCTGAAGGAAGAACATTAAAGGCAGAGGATGAAACACATGCAAAGGTCCTGAGATAGAAACAGGCTTGGCATGTTCCAGGAACAGTGAAAAGATAGTAGACCAAGTAGAGGGGAAAAAAAGTGATAGGAAAAGATGCCTGAGAGCTAGTCAAGGGCTAGATAGTGTAGGCTGAGTTGCTAGGAGGTCACATTTAACTGGATTAAAAACATACTTTGTGATCCACTTGAAAAGGAAATGCCTAAAAAGTAGATGGGAAGACTTCTTGTCTCTCCACTACTACCAGAGCACCTCTTTATGTAAGCAGAGCCCATCACCTCTAGAGACCATGTCATCTCAGTCCTCTGGCAGGACACTAACTGGGGTGAGGTACACTGGTGGTGCTCAGTGAGTCTTGATAGGAGCTGTCCTTGCAAGTAAAGCACCGTAGTTCTGGACGGAGATGGAAGAGCCCTAGATACAGTGGATGCTGTAAATTTCACACAGTTGGGACATAAGTCCAAGCCACATATTTGTGTAAGTGATTGAATTACTTGGATTTAGCTTCCATTTCCTTCTTTATTTCCCTTTAAAAATATTATACAAACAATGCCAGTTCACAAAAAATAAAACCTGGTATAGTTTTCTTTACATTCTGGGCTGGGCTAAATGCATTTTGTGGATTGCTTATGAAGGATCACCTGGTAAATTATAAAGATGTATGACAATGAACAAGGTTGGCCTGAAATAGACCTATGCCAGGGCACACTTGACTGGAGGGTCTATTTCAGAGGAAAAACCTGGGAGTCATGTTGCTTTACAAGCATGAGTCATGTATTATTAGTAATATTTCAAGGGAAGCCACTTAAAATATATCCTGAGTACTGATACTGGAAATGACCTTGTTTTCCATATGCTTTCAGGTGTCTTCACCTAAGTGTACATATTTATGCCTATATTTAACACCTATCTACATTTGGGTTCTACAATGCATAGCATTGCAATTAAAAGAACGAATTCTGATATGAGACCTTGAATAAAAATCTTAGTCCCCACCACTTCCTGGCAAGTGTTTTGTTTTTTTTTTAACGTTTATTTATTTTTGAGACAGAGAGAGACAGAGCATGAACGGGGGAGGAGCAGAGAGAGAGGGAGACACAGAATGGGAACCAGGCTCCAGGCTCTGGGCCATCAGCCCAGAGCCCGACGCGGGGCTCGAACTCATGGACCGTGAGATCGTGACCTGAGCTGAAGTCGGACGCTTAACCGACTGAGCCACCCAGGCGCCCCCCTGGCAAGTGTTTTAATCTTCCTAAGCCAGTTTCCTCCTTTAAGAAATGGAGATGATTCCTACCTCAAGAGTAATTGTAAGAATTACATTAGTTAATGTATAAAGTACCAAGCATGTTATATGTCACAAGGTTTAAGTCTTCCTTAAACCATTAATACAACAGAAACTATCATATTTAGGAGAGATTGTAGGGATCAGAGATGTTTATTGAATGAAAAGGCACCCGAAACCAATAATATTGCACTGTATGTTAACTAAAATTTAAATGATATTTTCTTTAAAGGAGAAAAAAAAAGGAACCAATAGCACAGATTTCTTCCTCTCCTTTGTAATTGCTTACCTGCCTAAGGACTGGAACCTCAGCTCACTGCACACTGTCACCTGAAACGCCCATCAAGTTATCAAAGAAGGCAATGTAAAAACCCCAGGTGTATCTTCTTGTAAGGACCCGGACTGTTGAACCGGAAAGCGAAAAGTACAAGTGTTACAACTGACCTTCGACCCGCGCTCCCCCATCGGTCGCCTGTTTATTTAAATGGTGCGTCCCCTCGGGTGCCACCTGGTAACATTTAGGCCCAGCGCTCCCGGCGGATTCGCGGGACGCGGCTGGAGGCGCCAGTTCTCCCAGGTGTCCGCGGCGCTCGGCGACCCCGGCCACCCCGAGCCCGGCACCCCGGTGAGGGCTTGGCGTGGCTAGACGAGCTCGGCCGGCTGCGGTGGGTGCAGAGGCCTCCGCGCCTAGCCACGTCCCCCCCTTCGCGGGGCGCTCGGAGCCGGCGGGGACCGATACCTGGAGGACGCCTCCAATCCCCGCGGGCGCCACGCCTGCCGCGCCGGCGGCGCGGGGAATAAGAAGTGAGCGCCCGGCCGCAGAGGTAAAGCTCGGGCTCGGGCTGTGCGCCGCGGGGCCACGGTTGGAACGCAGGACCCGGGAGACCGAGCGACCATGGACGCGCCGCGGGGCATCGGCACCTTCGTGGTGTGGGACTACGTGGTGTTCGCCGCGATGCTGCTCATCTCCGCCGCCATCGGCATCTACTACGCCTTCGCGGGGGGCGGCCAGCAGACCTCCAAGGACTTCTTGATGGGCGGCCGCAGCATGACAGCCGTGCCCGTGGCGCTGTCCCTCACCGCCAGCTTCATGTCGGCAGTCACCGTCCTGGGCACCCCCTCGGAGGTCTACCGTTTTGGGGCCATATTCAGCATCTTTGCCATCACTTACTTCTTTGTGGTGGCCATCAGCGCGGAGGTCTTCCTCCCGGTGTTCTACAAACTGGGAATTACCAGCACCTACGAGGTAAAGGGTGAGGGTGGGTTAGGGGGGGAGCGGAGGGGGCAGGACTTTTCAGGCTCTTGGAGAGATTTTTCCTGGGGGCAGACTCACCACCACATCGAAATATCTCCCTGTCCAGGTCCATTACCTCCCCTGCCCTCCCCTTTTGGGGAGAGGTGTCCTGTGAAGGCCACAAAAATCTTGGAATTTGCTCTCAGGAGCTCACTGACAAAGAGAGGCTTCCAAAGTAATCGGAGTGATTTGGATTAGTGCTCACTAAGGCGCTTTCTGCTTTAACATCTTTGATTCTGAGTCAAGGGGAAAGATTTAAAAACTTTTTATCTGGGGGAGGGTAAATTGTTCAAATCTCAGCCTCTCCTCCTTGAAAGGAATCCCCTTGTTCCAGGTCCATAGGCACCACTCACTTTCCCAGGATCGTCTGGGAAGAATTTGCACACTCTCCCCTCCTTGCCCCTCCACACACACACACACACACACACACACACACACACACACACACACACCCTCTAGAGGCACATGCCCAAGTGGGTAAGGTGCTGTAACTCCTGTCCCAGTACCTACATTTGAGATCAGAGTCTACCCCTTACTAGCTGGGTAACCTTGAATGATTTATTTAACCTTTTGTGCCCATTTCTTTCATCTCAAAATGAAAATAATAATACCAACTACCTCATCTAGTTGTTGGGAGGATTAAATGAGATGATGCAAGGGTAACATTCAGAATAGTGTCAGGGGCTGGGTGAGTGCTGGAAAAACGTGGGCCATAAATATTTGTGGTGACAGTAGCAGACATGGTTATCTTGGGATAGCTGGGAAGATTTGGCTGAAAGGTTCTTAAACAGTTCTGCCTTTTCTCTCAGTGGAAAAATGATTAAGGAAGGCACTTGTTGGGATGAGCATTGGGTATTATATGTAAGTGATGAATCACTGGGTTCTACTCCTGAAACCAATACTACACTGTATGTTAACTAACTCCAATTTAAATCAATAAATAAAACCATCTTTCCTGCTGCACAGCTCCATTGGTTATAGGTTTTCTCCAGTTGTCTGCAGGAAAGGGCTTTGGAGAGGGAGGGAATGTTTGGTTTAATTTAAAGAACTGTTGAATGTGAGCCGGGTGGGGGTGCAGTTCAGCACCCTTAGTGGTCTCTTTATCCAGGCACTAACCCATGAGGCACATGGGCAAACCTGCAGAAGTTTCCTCTCGCACAGGTCATTATCCAGAGGGCTCTGACACTCATTCTTAGCCTTAAGTTCAGGTACTTTTTGCTCCAGTCCAGAGCCACTGGAAGGTGGTTTCCTAGTGAGGCTGGTTCAACTGGTGCTGGCTGCAGGGCCTCAATGGCACAACAAATGTTAGTGACAAACTGCCTGGGCTGTGGTGATGCCATCCAGGGCGAGGCACCCCTGGGGCAGCAATGCCTTCCACTCACTCTGGTCATTGTGTTTGGGAGAGTTCGGTCATCATCCCAGAAGGGAGCAGAATGGAATTTCTCTGTTTTGCTCAAAATTAACAAACTGGCTGCCTCAGGCCAATCTTAATTTTCTGTCTTTTTTTTTTTTTTTTGACCCTTAAAGTGTTTTGAAGGAAAATTAATTTAGCATTTATGATGTTGAGAAGTCAAATACAATTCCAGATTCTAGCTTCTTTTGAAAATTTAGAAGCCTGGTGACCCTGGGCTCACATTCCCTGGGGTGAATTCCATGATCAATTCCCAGTTTTACAGCCATTGTTCTCACTTCCTGTTAATTCTCGTAGCTGCATGGTTACTTTCTCATGATAGAGAAATCTTTATCTGCATTTTTGTCTTTCTCAAAAATGCAAAAGGGAACATGGACAGGGTGAAGGGAGTACTTGGTTTTGAGAGAGATGTGAGAGGACATATTTCTTAGTGGATGTGAGGAATAGTCCAACATTTTAATATATGAACACCTGGCCAATCCACTTGTGTATATTACTTTATGAGTCCTTAGGCAGTTTGAGTCTGTGAGCTCTGATCTATAGTCAACCAACTCCAAAACTCAGAAAGGGTTTGAAGAACCTGGCAAGAGGACTTCAGTCCCCAGAGATGAATGCTCCTCTCATAAGCACTGACCCATGCCTCCTCGGGACAGCAGCATTAATTCAACCAGAAAGAGATTACCCATACGTTTCCAGCGGTGGAGGCTGTTAGCAGAGTTCCAGCTAAAAATGGCAAGAAGTTAATGTTTACTGAATGCTTAATACATGTGTGGCACTGGGCTGCATGGTTTACACACATACATTATCTGACTCAATACTAAAACAATCCTTATAAGGGAAGTGCTAAGAGAGCCCCATTTTGCAGACAGAGAGACTCAGAGTAAGTTAAGCTACATAAGAGTGTGAAGCAAAGTAGACACATGCCTAGAGGCTGTGCAGTGGTGCATACTGGCTGCTTCTGAAGCCTCTGGTGAGTCTGTTATAACCCTTAAGCAGGGCTTACAAGAGTACAGAGAGAACAAGGGAAGTAGAACAGAACACACAGAGTTGTGGGCACGCTGGCAGCTTGCATGACTGGTGGGTGCCCAGCAGCTGGGGTCAGGGAAGTTAAGATAACATGCTTTGTCCCTGATGATTGGCCATAGCAAACACTCTCCTATAACTTTTTTCTATTTGTTTATATATGCCTCAGAGGGCACCACCTACACAGAAGAAGAAGTCCAGCGCTGGGTGATATACCCTGGTATTCTTGCTCAAATATGAAATCTCTTCCTACTTATATTTCTTTAGCTAGAATTGGCTATTCAGAAGCATATCTGTTATCTATTTATCACTGCTTTTAAAGTATAGGCCTGATAGGTGTTAGCCACTTCCAGACCCACAGATAAGAATGTAATGCAGGAATACAATTTCGTTCACCACTTCTTCAGGATCTTTCTGGATCCACAAAATCTGTGTGTTGGAACTGAGTTGTCTAGGTATATATATATAACCTATAATCCCTAAATATATATGTATTTTTGTGAATTATATGTATTTATATATATTATTCATATGTATTTATTTTGAATACATATGTATGTTTATAATTATGCGTTATATTTATCTGTGGATTTGGATGCCAATTTTTTTTTTTAATTTTTTTTTTTTCAACGTTTATTTATTTTTGGGACAGAGAGAGACAGAGCATGAACGGGGGAGGGGCAGAGAGACAGGGAGACACAGAATCGGAAACAGGCTCCAGGCTCTGAGCCATCAGCCCAGAGCCTGACGTGGGGCTCGAACTCACGGACCGCGAGATCGTGACCTGGCTGAAGTCAGACGCTTAACAGACTGCGCCACCTAGGCGCCCCAAAGGATGCCAATTTTTAATGTCTTACTTTTGAATAACAAGTTACAATATTTCCCCATCCATTTATATCACTTGATAGTCTCCAAAGCCCTGCAAAGTAAGAGGGGAAAGAATTAGTACTGTGATCCTCATTTTCAAGAGGAGGAGCCTAAGATTTCCAGTGACTTCCCCGAGCTTGTGGAGTCATGATTGGGACTGGGTCAAGGGCTGGAACTCCTCCCCAAAACTATGCTGTGCTGTGTGTTTTTTACCTGTTAGTTGTTTTTTGAAGGTCCTACCATGCGTCAGTGCCACCCGCTCACTCTGAGTCTTAGAGACATGGTCAGTTTGCCTATTTATTTGGAATAATGTAGTGGTTCCCTGCCAAGATTTCGGCATCAAATGGTCCTAGACGTGCATTGTGGCTGTGAGAATTGTTAGGTTGCAACTTTGGTGTTCTCTCTGAACCCCAGTGCCCTCTGCTCTGATGGGTAGTACTGGCCTCTGGGAATTGTTGGAAGGACAGTGTATATAGCAAGTACTCTACAACTGTCACCTGTGATTATGGAGCAAAAATATCTGGTGTCCTTGCCTCTGATTATTACTTAATGTCAATTTTTCCTTCCTCTTTATTTTCCCCTGCTCTATGAAAAGACTTGTTTTCAGCTTTAAAATTCTCTTTACATGAGTAATATTCAAGTTAGAGAATGAGAACTAGCTTTCTTCCAGCTCTAAAATTCTATGACTCTAACTCTATAATATATTATGACATATACTATAGGAGATAAGCAGATTATATTTTAAGATGTCAAGGAAAGTAGGAAGAATTGGCAGTTGTTCATTGGCCCCGAATGGAAACTGACATAGACTGATTTAAATAAAAAATAATTTATTTGGGAGGATACAGGGGTAGCCCATCCGAGAGTGAAAAGATGAGCAAAGAGGCTGTGAAAAGGATGGAAGCCAGGATGGCCTCTTCAGGCCACTGTCAGGATCAGTCCTCTTTTGCTCCAGCCATTTTCTGTCTTTATATTATGCCTCTAAGATTTAAGTATCCATTGGAGAGAGAAGCTGATTGCCTGAACTTGGGTCATATGACCATCCCTCGGTCAGAAGAGGCAGGGCACCTTGATAGACAGTTCCATCACAATTTCCTGCAGTGGGAAAGGTTGATTCCCAAATGGATCAGGGAAATATCTAAAGTACATACCAAGACAAAGGGGAGAATGGCACTTTGCTCATTCTATAAATGCAGAATATAATCCACTTATATATATTCTTGAAAAGTCAAAACTAGGGATGGAGAACAGATCAGTGATTGCCAAGGTTTAGGGGTAGGGGAAGAGTTTGACTACAAAGGAACAACATAACAGAGTTTTCTGGTGGTGATGGAATTGTCCTGTATGTATTAGAACCTAATGGACTGCACTTTAAAACAAGAGTTAATTTTGCCGTATATAAATAAAAAGAGTAGTAAAGTAGGAATACAGAACACAAATCTTATGAGGTTGCTTTAAATTTCTAACCCCTTTACTTCTTGAGCAGCTGATGTTTCACAACAGTATAAAGTTTTCGCGTATTAACCATTTTTCACTTTTTTGGAAACAGTATTTAGAGCTTCGATTTAACAAATGTGTTCGTCTCTGTGGAACAGTCCTCTTCATTGTTCTAACGGTAAGTTACTCTCCATTAGTTTGTTTTACCTTTTGTCATCTGAAATGTTTGAACTAAGGCATCTGGGCCAAGCTTATTTGGTAAATGAATGAAACATAAGAAAGAGATGTTGAAAATAGGAGACAAAAAAGCAAAAACACTTGCTGTTATACAGCATCAACTCTTAAGATCATTAAACCGTGTTTCAGCAAATGCCCCACTTCTTGGAAAACAGAATGTTTCAAGTGAATGCTAAGTATTACATTAATCAACTAACAGTCATGTTGCTTCAGGAGCACATGCTTTTTCCTCTCCCATCTCTGCTTCTGCCCACCAAAGTGACTGAGATGTCATCATTACTGAAATGACAAAGATATTTGAAGGAGCTGTAGGAGCTGATGGTAGGAATTGTAACAAAGGGAAAACAAGTAGTATGTTTCATAGTGTTTTGCAGCTTGTTGAGTACAGGTTTGTAAAAATTAACTGACATAGGAAGACACGAGGAAATAATTTCATTTGCTTGAAAGCATGCTTACAAAAATGAATCAGTGCTCTCTTTTAAAAAGCAGAAACTTATGCCCCAATTGAAGTGGTCATCGAGTATAAAACAACAGAACTATGCACTCTGGAGTTTTTAAAGCCAAGTACAAGTCAGGTAATATAAGTAAATGCAAATATAGATTTACTGATTGCCACAAATGGAAAGCAAAGATTTGCCAAGCAGTGAATGACAGAGAACACTTCCCAGTCTTCATCCAGATTGCTGGAGGCTTGTCATGATTATTGTCACATCATTTATATCGATCTTCCTCTTGACAGGTAAATGCTTTTTAGAGGGATGGGTTTGTTAATGGAGATCTAGGAAGGAGTTTTCATTCTCATCCCTATTGGTAATTCAATTCTCCAATCACAAGCAACCCTAAGCATTTGCTATAGCATAACAGAGTGCCTTTGTAAATTATTTAACTTGACTCCATTTTTTATCTCTGTAAATTGCATAACTTAGATTGGTCCTTAACACTTCCAGTGTAAAAGGAAGGAGCTCTTTGGGGTCTGGTAGAGATTCCGACAAAGAATTGAGGCCAGTATCTTGCATTTACCAACTGTTTAGTTCCTCTTTGGATCATTTTTAGAAATGCCTACAGAGATGAAAAGTGGGGAACAAGTGTCAAGAAGGTGGCCTGTGGTCATGTTTTCAAATTTTCAAGTTGGTCCGGATAATGACTGTGGAAAGTTCATTACTACAAAAAGAAGAAAGCTTTACCATCTCCCACTTGAAGGACTTACTTCCATTGACCTATCCATGTAGTATAATCAAACATTCAAATACTACATAATATGGCTTTTTTCATCATTTGTCTTTATAGAGTAAACATGGAATCACAGAGAATCATAGAACCATATGTTTTTATAAAATAAATCACATAGGATATATATGAATATACAGGATACGATATACAGTATTTGAAAAATCTAATGCAGTGAAAATAATATCCTGAGAAAAAAAGACCACATTTATCATACTACTGTGCCCCAGATTCATAAATATTTGTTAGATATATGAATGAAAAATAATATAGAATATCAATAAGATGGAATATAGTTTTTGTTGGCTTTCAGGGTTTTTTTAAGTTCAAATTTATAGTTTTGTTTAATTAATTAGCATGCAAACTTTTTGAAACCAGTTTCCAAAATTATTACTGTTTTTCCCAATTAAGTATGCAGTGATTAACAATAGTTTGAAGGCATATGAATGAGGAACCATCTTTTTTTTTATTTTAGGTTTGTATTTTTTCTTTCCTTTTAATTGTTTAGATCGAGGAAAATTGATTTCAAGCTTCAGTTGATGGATCAATGACTATCTGCACTGAGCACCATGTGAACAGTCCATATTTTTACTTTATTTTTTTATTTTTGAGAAGTCCGTATTTTTAACAAAATTGGCCATAAAAGATTTCTGTAATCTATGACCACATCACAAACGGTAAAGAAGAATCAGCTTCACTTAAATAACATTTTCAAGTTACAGATTTTATCATGTATACTGAAACTACTGTTTTAATTCATAATTGAGTTTATAAAAAATTAATATTTTATTTTATAATTCATACAGTATATTTGGTTTTCTTTTTCCCCTAGATTCTCTATACTGGAATTGTTATTTATGCCCCTGCCCTGGCTTTGAATCAAGGTACATTTTAGAGTTAACAATTATGTCACCACATTTGGGGGTTCATTTTTAAATAGACTTTATTCTCTCCTTGGGGAGGGGGGAAGATGGAGGAATGCCTCCAGTAACCTGCATCAACTTGAGGGGAGCAAGATGGCTTTAAGTGTTTACTCTAGCAGCTTCTTTGAGTTCCTGGGTCAATAGCTCCAAAAGATCTATGATTAATAGGAGGGCAGACCTCACTGAGGAGTGAATCTTGGATGTACCAACCAGCCATGCTCCATTCCTTCAGAATGAACGCCCCCTGTAGTCTAAGTCATGAATGGCTGCACTTTCTTCCTTGGTAGCTGTAACCAGGAGCCCATAGTCGAGAGGCTTCTGTGTTACTCAGCTCAGTTCCATCATGAAATCTGGCAGGGAGAGAAACTTTTCTTCTTCCCATTTCTAACATGGTCCAAAATTCAAGAGAGGGAGATTTGTGTGACTTGAAATATCAAATCTTTCCTAGTGACACAATGAAAGATGGCTATAGTATCCTTTTAAACAAATGTATGAAGATGGTGCTGATCAACAAACTACCCTTTGGATTTGGGCAGATAAAAGCCATGGAACTGGAATAGTTTACTGAACCAAAGATGCCTGTTAGTTAGTCTTATCTGCAAAAGGCTTTCGGGGAACCCCATATCCTTTGAATTCTTATCAATCAGATGTGAATTTATCTCTAAAACTGCCTTGTAAAATGGACAAGTGGACTTTGATGGGAAAAATGTGATTTGGTTCCTGTGAGTTAATATAAAATGGAAGAACCCTGCTAAATCCACACTCTCATTTCTTGATTTCATGATAGACAGATAGTAATTATAACCTAAGTTTATAAAGTATAACTATATCATTACAAAGAAGAATTCCATGATATAATGTGCTCTTGAATTCTGAATGACAGGCATGTTCCATGTCAATATTACCAACATCATGAGTGGGTCAATTTCATGTATAAAGAGCTGACTATAAGCTTCATAAGTTACCTATTGGCCTTAAGTGTAACTAAGGATGTTGGCTTTAGGGTTTTAAAGTACAGTTATGGCAGTAAAAGAGTACTGCTTTCCATCTGTGAAGAAATTGAGGACTCAGATCTTATCAGGTTATTGTGCCATTCACTAGGGATTAGGACCCGAGACTGCATTTTGACCGCTTGAATATCAATTGTGTATTTTACTGTGACCAAAGCAGTATATACCAGCATAAATATAGTACTGGATGTGCAACAGATGCTCCAGAGAAACTTGTTTAACTGAAATGGATCTTAACATTCTTTGGGTCTGATCATTTTCTTTTTAATTTTTTAAAAATTATAGAAAAATTCAAACATATACTAGAAAAAAGAGAGTAGCATAGTAAACTCTAGTGTATCCTTAACTCCACTAAAAATGATCAACTTTTGGTTTAATTCACTCTGTTTCACTCACTAGATTATTTTCCTGTAAATCTGAGATATTTTATCATTTCATCTGAATTCAGGGTCTTTTAAAAATAAGGATATGCTTTTTTTTTTCTCCACTGAGGTAAAATTGACATATAACATTGTATTATACTATAATGATTCAATATTAGTATGTATTGCAAAATGACCACCACAATGTCTAGTTGACATCTGTCTCCATACATAGTTAAAAAATTTCTTTTTCTTGTGATGAGAGCAAATTGGTATTTATTCTCTTAGCAACTTTCAAATATGCATTATAGGATTATTAACTATAGTCAGCATGGTGTACATTACACCTCCAGGACTTATGTATTTTATAACTGGAAGTTTGTACCAGCATGTGTTTTGCAAATACAACTATACCATTTTCATATCTAAAATATTAAAATCATTTTTTGATATCATCAATATGAAGTCAGTGTTCAGATATCCCTGATTTTCCCCCCTTTTTATTGTATTTCATCATATGCATCTCCAAAATCTGTTTATCCATTCTCTTATTGATGGGTATTGGATTGTTTCCAGTTTTAGGCTACTCTGAATTAGAGCTACTAAGATCACTCTTGTTCAGGTTTTGTTTTGTCTTGCTTTGTATTTGTTACAACCTCAAAGCAGAATGTGACTTGAGCACTACTTTTTCACTCACAAAACTTGCTGAGTTACTTTTTGAACAGCTTTATAACATACCTACATAGGCTTGTAATTTTGCTACCTCAAACAATGTTTTTCTTTGGAAAACAAAGAAAATAGATAGATAGTGACTCTCATCAAGTCAGTTCAGTTTAACATACTAGTTTTTAGAGGCCTGTCACATGTAGTAGACAACCACAGGGGATAGAAGATTTAAAAAGTAGATCCTAGCAGGTGAAAGGTATTTGAACCAATATTTTTCTTTTAAACATCAAGGGATAGCTCAGAACACTTCAGTTACAAAAAGTTTGGTCTTACTAAGGAATCTGCTAGGTAGCCAAACACTTCAGACCATGCAGTTAACGCTAGGTTACTTACATCTTGCAACAAATGCTACCTTGTCCTGTTAAAATAAGCCAACATGGAACTAGATAGAAAAGGAAAACTAGCTGGGTTTTAGTTCCTACTTATCACAGCATCACCCTCAGAAAGTGGTTCTTGTCCTGCCATACAGATTTTTAAAATGTTAACAAAAATGAAGAAAAACATCCTTGAATGTATTATCAGGGGGAATGAAGATAAAGTATTGAATACCTGTACAAGTAATTCTTGGGGCAGCGCTTACTCCAGTTCTTCCATGGGTGACGTGTCACCATCCCCCAGGAGAAGCAGCATCTCTTTGGTTACAGCAGCATTGCCATCATCAGCAGTGGGGTCATTTTCATCAATAACCAAGACCAAGTTTGATCGTCTTGTAGAACCTGTTAGCATGTGTCTGGGGATTCTCTTTTGACACACATTTTTATTTCTAGTGGGTGAACACCTGGAAGCAGTATAGTTAAACATACACCTATTATGACCTAGCTCAGGGCAGGTTCATGTACAAAATTTAAGAGAAACTGGCAAATAGTTTTTCAAAATGATTGTACCATTTTACATGCCCACTCCACAATGAATGCATGTCTGAGTTACTCCAGTTGTGCTCCTGCCTTGGCTTTGAATCAAGGTACATCTTAAAGTTACCACATTTGAGGCTAATTTATTATATAGGAAAACATTGACTTTTGTATATTAACCTTGTGTCCTGCAAACTTGCTATAATCACTAGTTCCAGGAGGTTTTTTTTTTAATATCAATGATCATGTCATCTATGAACAAAGAGAGTTTTATTTCTTCTTTCCCAATCTATATACCATTTATTTCCTTTCTTGTACAATGTTGAGAAGAAATAGTGAGAGAGGGCATCCTTGTCTTGCACCTGATGTTAGTGGGAAAGCTTTGAGTCTGTCACCATTAAATAGGGTGTTAGCTGTAGGTTTTTTGTAGACAGCCTTTATCAAGTTGAGAAAGTTCCCTTCTATTCTTAGTTTATTGAGAGTTTTTATCATGAATGGATATTGGATTTTGTCAAATGCTTTTTCTGCATCTTTTGATATGACCATGTGATATTCTTTTTCAGTCTGTTAATTTGATAGATTCCATTAATTGATTTGAAAATATCAAACGAGCCTTGCATACCGGGGATAAATCCCTCTTGGTCATGGTGTTTAATTCTTTTTATACTTTTTTTGGATTCAATTTGCTGATCCTCAATTTGTTGAAGACTTTTGCATTGGTGTTCCTGGGAAATATTGGTTTGTAGTTTCTTTGTAATGTCTTACCTGGTTTTGGTATTAGGGAAATCCTGGCGTCATAGAGTGAGTTAGGAAGTATTCCCTCTGCTTCTATTCTCTGAAAGAGGTTGTAGACAATTGGTATAATTTCTTCCTTAAATTGTTAGAAGTTACCAGTCAGCCTGCCTCGCTTAGAGCTTTCTGTTTTGGAAGGTCTTTAATTACTGATTCAATTTCTTTAATAGATATAGACCCATTTAGATAATTTATTTCTTGTTGTATGACTTTTGGCCCATTGTGTCTTTCAAGGAGTGGGTCTATTTTATCTAGATTATCACATTTGTGGGTAGAGTTGTGATCCTTCCATTTAAAAAGAATACAGTATGCCTCTCCACTTCTTAGGTAAATGGTGGCAAATTATACAACTTTTCTCCTTCTTGGTTCCATCTTAGTAACATGCACAACTCATTTCGAGGAGTGGTAGAATAGTGTGTTTACTGAACCATGATGACCAATACTCTATGACCCCATTCAGTCTAGTTAATTTCCTCACAATATCAAGTTGTTTCTTAGCTTCATTACAATAGAAATGCTTTCTCATGTATTTTATTTAGCCAATGTTAGATCTAGGGATGCTGTCTGAGGGTAGAAACTAGGTCCATTTAACTCATCAAGTAAAATTTTAAACTCCACTTGTTTGGGGACATTTTATGAGATTTGGACCTAGTTTTAGGCAAGAGTAGAGAGGTAGGGAGAAGATAGGTGCTCTACAAATGATATAGATTCCTAATGATGATTTTTTTGAGAAGTATTTTTATTATACATGTTTCACAGTTACTCATGCATTTTCTTTTTTCCTTTCACAGTCACAGGATTTGATCTGTGGGGTGCAGTAGTGGCGACAGGTGTGGTCTGCACATTCTACTGCACACTGGTATGTCAAGGACATTATTTCTCTTTTCACTTTATCCGCTTGCTTTGCAAAATGGAAAATTCCAGTAGTTGTGTTCTGCAAACTGCATTGTTCATGTGTAATATCCTACTCTTATCTCCCACAAGTGTAACTTTTTGTAAGAAATATTCAATCTGGGGAAAAATTTGATTCTTTATAGAACATTGATCATAACTGAAACTTCTTTCTTTTATCTGAACCATTGTAGTGGTCCTGAATTTTGTCTTCTGATTCATCTTTACTGTTGCTAAATTATTATAGTTGTGTTCATATTATTCCTAGGCTCCAAAACCTGAGGTAGTTTCTCATTGCCTATAGGTAGGAGTTACAGTAAAAATATATAACATCCATATAGTATGGACACTGGTATTATTATGGATGCTAGTTCTTTTTTTTTTTTTTTTTTTAATTTTTTTTTTTCAACGTTTATTTTATTTTTGGGACAGAGAGAGACAGAGCATGAACGGGGGAGGGGCAGAGAGAGAGGGAGACACAGAATCGGAAACAGGCTCCAGGCTCTGAGCCATCAGCCCAGAGCCTGATGCGGGGCCCGAACTCATGGACCGCGAGATCGTGACCTGGCTGAAGTTGGACGCTTAACCGACTGCGCCACCCAGGCACCCCTGGATGCTAGTTCTTAGCAGTGGTGCAACTCTCATGGCATCCCTGACATACTAGGTCTTAAGACTTTAGTTGCTGGATCTTCTACAAGTTGGGGATCTCCGGGAAGGGATGTTTCAGCCAAGGACATAGGAACTGGAGAGAGACTCTTGGCAAGTTTTTGGTAGTGGCTAGTACAAAATGATTTTAGTACTTCAACAACTGGTATGACCTTCTATATGCACACTTGATTGGATATCAGCCCTGCCTATGGGATAAAGTCCATGAAAATGCCTCTTGCAATTTGACTCTGAATTTTCTTCCCAACAATCTACCTATACCATTCCACTTTGCTTCAAAATGTATACCTGGCTACACTCAACATGCTATGTACTTTGACTTTTTATGCTTTTACCCATGCTGTTTTCTCTTCTGGGATGACCTTTCATCTTTGCCTCTGCTTCTGTCTGAAGGCTTGGCTCAAATCTCACCTTCTCTTGAAGGTTCTCCCAAGCTTACAATCTACGTTGAATGTACCTCTTGGCCCAGATCCATGTTTTCATTATTTTTATCCAACATAGCATATAAGCATGTAGATTATTAATAATGTCTGATAAAAGCATTAATCCTAATATACTTTTCTCCTCAAAGGGTGGTCTTAAAGCAGTTGTCTGGACAGATGTTTTTCAAGTTGGGATCATGGTAGCTGGATTTGCATCTGTGATTATACAGGCTGTAGTGATTCAAGGTGGGATCAGCACTATTCTAAATGATGCCTATAATGGTGGAAGATTGAACTTCTGGAAGTGAGTTGCTATTTACCTCCTGAACAATAGAATTCTCCTTTTTTTTTCTATAAAAATAATCTTTTTATTGAAACAGTAAGTTTATATTAGACCTCTAACAAATAGACCTCTAAGAACATAGTACAAAAAATTGAAGCTGACAAGTTAATGTGTGAGGGGTTTCCACCAAGTCTTTAAGGGGTTGAAACAGTCAGTTGGTTAGTTACATGGTACTTAGAATGGTCCTTCTTCCTGAGAAAGGACTGATAGCAAAAGAGTAATTTTCTTCCAGATATTTAAATCTGGAATTGGTTAAAGGGTAGGGTAGGGTAATTAGAGAAGAGATAGTTGGGAAATAAGAAAAGGAAACCTTTCTTAAGATAAAAACACCAGAAGACCATGCTGCCATTTTCATAGTTTTTTGTTTCAAGCAGCCTAGAGAATTTTTCTATTGATATTGCCCCAACAATATATAGTATATTATTATTATATTTCATAATTGTATATATGTATTAAATGTTATATAAAATTATATGTTATTTCTAGAAAATTTACTAGAAAATTTATGACTAATGTTTCAAGTGTCAGTAGGTTGTGTAATATAGCATATCTTAAGCGGTTATTCATGTTTCCTGGAGAAAGACCAGTGGGAAAACTAGACATTTCATCGCAAATATATCACACAACTTAAAACAATATTTAAAATACCTTCCATTGTGGTTCAGTAGTGTCATTCTTGTTATCATGTTCAATGTGGAAAGGGGCTTATTTTGACTTGGACCAGCATATTTCCTCTTTAAGAAGCCCTACTTTGAGACACACAGCTGAAATCACCGGCAAGAAGAAAAAAAGAAAAGCATTTCTTTCTTGGTGGCTCTCTTCTAGTTTTTGAAAATGGCACTAATGTTTGAGAAGAGATTTTTCAGAAATTGGACAGGGACAGCATGTTAATTTTCAGAGATGAGTTGAATTATGACAAATCAATTTCAACTATTTTCTATTATTACTATGACTACTTCAAGATTCAGATTCCAAGGAAGAGCACCTCCAATTGTCCTAGCTTGGGCATGATTCCATACCTTAGTTGGGGCAGAGCAGGACTTTGTATTGACAACCACTTAGACTATTTTATGGGGCAATGGTTGTTTACCAAAGCGTATTTGGGTTGCCATTACTAGAGGATGGGAGAATGGATGCCAAGAAGCAGAAACAATCAGTGGCCACGCAGAAGATCTTGATTACTCCCAAATCTCTTCCTAGTAGGCTTAGATTGAGGGGAGAAGGTTTGGAACCAATAATTTTTTCTGCAAGTTAATTGTCACTGTGTATAAAGGCAACCCATATTGCTGCATTGAAGTGACACCTTTTACATTGATGAGAGATTATTGAAAGTAAAAGATTAGACATTTTCATGATGTTTACTTTGGAGGCTGCCAAGCATTAAATAATAAGAAAAGCATTATTGTGTGTCCTTGTTATTCAGATATGTTTGAGAATATGGTGGGCAAAATATCTGCTCTGGTGATGATAAGAGAAGGATTCTGTGTTGGTATTTTCTGTATGATCTGTAGTTGCCATATATATTGTATATGGCCTAAAACCACTAAATTGTCTATTCTAAATATTGTCTTACTTCCCTCAAGTAGCTCGCTGAGTCCTTTTGGCTCTTGATTTCCATTAGCTAATATAGTAGTTGCTTTCTCTGTAGGATAAAGGGTCAACACCCTTGAAACTCTTAAACTTTAATATGAAAGTTAGAGAATGGAATAGAGGCTCTTGTATTTCCATAAGAATGCCAGGATATGTATAAAATTAGAATACTTTCTTCAACTAATCTTAAATATAAGATTTGAGATGGATTTGCAGAATTTCACAATTTTTAGAAAGTTTCTTTGAAAGCCAATTTTGCAGAAATTTGTCAAGCTCATATTGTATATCATAGATGAATAGAATTATTCCTTCTAAGATAACACATTAAGAAAAGTTAAAAGGCATATCAAATGTGGAAGTTGAGCTTTCTTTGTGACAATAGTTTGGGCTTAAGTATATGTCATAAAGTGACTTTTCACTATTAGCATTTAGCTTGTGCACACAGCATTTTAAGAAAGGATGATTACACTGACACAGTAATTTTAGAATGCAAAAGCCTTTAAACTGCATTATCTAACTGAGTTCTTGATCTTGAATATAAATTAGAAGTCTGACTGTACATGTGCTAGGAGAAGAATAACGTATGCATTGTATAACAAAAAATTTTGTTAATTTTGTGTTCATTTCAGTACCATATCTATTGCTAAGGTGCACTTAGGAAATTCCCTTTCTTTATTGCTTTCTCTTTTTAGTTTTGTATTTTTCTCTAATTACAGCATGGCAGACTTGTTTAAATAACAATTTACTAAAGCTACAGGAGAAAATTTTTATAAACTCTCAGAATAATTAGAACATTCATTTTTCCTCAGTCCCACCCAGAGTTTCCAATTCTCTGAAATTATCCACTTTTATTTCACGGAACTTAAGCTAGAAATATTTCTACCTTTTTTTATTACTTAATAAATTTGTACATATTTATGTATGTATCCATATTTACATAGATATACATTGCTTGCTTCCAAAAACTATTCTAGGATAATTTTCTATAGTTTTTTTTTCCCGATAGCTCAGATTTGTTTTCTGTTTCTTTTCATTTAGTTTTAATCCTAACCCTTTGCAAAGACATACATTCTGGACAATTGTTATAGGAGGGACCTTCACATGGACCAGCATCTATGGTGTCAACCAATCCCAAGTGCAGAGATATATTGCCTGTAAAAGCAGATTCCAGGCAAAAATGTAAGTCAAACTATGGTATAGAAATCATTAATAACCATCAGTTGTCTTTATTGAAATTCTTTCATTAGTCACACTTTGCTCAGGTTTAAGTCTTATGTATCATGAAATTCCAAGAGATAAATGATACTTAGTTATAAAAGGATCAAGTAAAACAAAGTGGTACTGTATATTTTAAACCAGATAATTTGAAATATTTATATGAATTATTTACTAAAACAAATACTATCAAATAATGCATTTATTGTGTATCTATTTGTATAAGGAATTATGGAGGATAAAAAATTATAAATATATGGCTCTTATCATGAAGGAGCCTTAATATCTAGTTAGGAAGATATATGCAAAAAAGTGAAATAACACTAGAAAAGTATAACAGTTCCATGGAAGGATAAAATGCTAGAAGAAATGGTCAAGGACATTATATTGACGGATGTGTTGGTGTGTTTTATTTTCAGACATAGTCACGGATTTATACCTCTGCTCTAACACTTGCTATTTGAGTGATCATGGGAAAGTTACTTAGTCTCCCTGAGTCTCAGTTTCTGAACTTACAAAATGAGCATAAGAAATATTATATATTTCATGAGAGGTATTGTAAAATGCTGTGTTCAGCACACACATGGTAGGGGGCCAGTAAATGTGAATTCCATTTTCTATCTCAGATCATAGGATGTGAAAGCAGAGGATGGGTGAGAGATTCCTCTCAAGCAGGCAGATCCTGAATAATGACCATATGTGGGCGGGTAGAGAATAGTGGGAGAGCATTCCAGATAGACATTGATTTGAACATAGCCCAGAAGTCAGAAGGATAACATGATCAGGGAACTCTCAAGCCCATCATGGCTTGAAAAAAGAGTACAAATGGTGGCTGGTTCTTTCTCAGGAAGCCTCAGATCAGTGTGGTGACCACCATTCCCCATGCTGATAAATAAGGCTAACTGGACCCACATGCATTTAGGAACTTAAAAATTCCAAATAGCTTAAGAGTAGCAGCATGATTAAAGTAGGATGAGGAATGGCAATTCTATTTCTATTCAAAGGAAAACATGAAAATATTGTGATGTCACATGTCAGAACTCAATATATTGAGGGTAAATTGGTTTAAACATGATCTGTCTTTGGAACATTCTGTAATAAAAGATCTACAAGAAAATCAACACAGTAACTGGATATAGAATACCCCAAAAGTGAGCTTAGGGGTTCTGGTATTTTTAGGAACTTTGAAGGAATGTAATTTATACTTCCAGTAATCCACTGGACTTTAAATCTATGCTAGAGCTGATGCCTCTCCCAAATTAATTGTGCACATACTCTTCTGTTTCTTTGGGAACATGAAACTCAAAAAGCCGAATTTTATAACTAAAATCCCAGAATTGGAGCTTTAGAGCGTTCTTAATAAAAAACAATTTCCTTTGGAACGGCCCAGTGGGTCTCCTTAACAAGGCAGAATCCCTGAGCTCAGAGGAATCATTTTCTCCTACTTCTTTTTTTCTTTTTTTTTATTAATTTGTTTTATTTTTTATTTTTTAAATGTACATCCAAATTAGTTAGCATATAGTGCAACAATGATTTCAGGAGTAGATTCCTTAGTGCCCCTTACCCATTTAGCCCATTCCCCCCTCTCAGAACCCCTCTTGTAACCCTCAGTTTGCTCTCCATATTTATGAGTCTCTTCTGTTTTGTCCCCCTCCGTTTTTATATTATTTTTGTTTCCCCTCCCTTATGTTCATCTGTTTTGTCTCTTAAAGTCCTCATATGAGTGAAGTCATATGATTTTTGTCTTTCTCTGACTAATTTCACTTAGCATAATACCTTCCAGTTCCATCCGTGTAGTTGCAAATGCATTTTCTCTTACTTTTTAACACTGGCTCCTTGGTAAGAATGAATCCTAGCCAGAAAGTTAAGACCTACTGACATTGATTGACCAGGGGCAGTATTAAATGTTGTTGATAAGAAATCTATTTGAATGGCACTAAAGTCAAATAAGACTATATAGTAAAGTATTAAACCCATGTATGAGCAAGGGTGTAAGAGCAGGAAAGCATCTGTGTAGATTTTCTGATGATTTGGAGATGAGATACACTTATTACACTATTTTTAGACAATAACAAAACATAGAATAAATTTAGTCAATCAAGGGAAAAGGTTAGCAATCTGTGTTTTGGCACCTGTTGAAGGTGGCTTCTCCTGAAACAGACTCTGAGATGGAGGCTGGCATGCTACAGTCTGTTAGGAAATCACCACCTGTAGAAGAAAATGGAAAGGAAGCAGGGTTGACTGGAGGGAGAATTTGGATTGTTATGCATTCTCAGCCAAGGCCTTAGGGGAAGCTCTAAATTTGGGCTGACTCATCAGATTTGTCCCAAATTAGGATGAGGGGACTTGTCCTTTAAACCTCTGAATCCACTAGTCATTGGACACAGGTGCCCCAGGGAAGGAGGCATGATATTGGGTGTTGTACTTCTCTTCAGCCTAGGGCAGCTTGTATCAGTATCCAGTACAGCACCCCTGGGAGAACAATATAGTCACCTTCTGAGAGAGAGAAATGTTAACTATTCAACTGATTATTAAGACATAGAACTCAATGACATTAATATTCATAATATCAATAATTACCATTTAACAAATGTTATTACATGCCAAGCTCTATGATATGTACTATTTCATTTAGTCTTATAACTCTGTGAGGTAGGCGTTGTTATCTGTAGGTATAAATGAAGAAACTGAAGTTCACAGAGGCTAAATTACTTGCCTAGGGTCACATATGATAGATCGAACTAGCGTTTATGTTCAGGTTTGACTCCAGTGATGTTATATAAGCCTTTATACTCTCCCAGAGCACACATCATGTATTATAATGGTGAACATTGTTTGGGAAGGTACCTGTTCAAGGAATGCAGATTTGCCTTTCACATTTATTAGATGATATTACAAACCACATTTAAACAAGTTTGATGAGTTGCTATGTAGATGCTAACAATGTTTAGCAGTTTAGAATTGCATTACTTTTAAAAGGAAAGTGAGTAATGGTTACTGGTCTGTTGACTATTAAAAATCTTTATTTCATGATAAGAAGTTCTGAAGTAATATAATTACATATGATTATAAAGCTGATAATGCCCATGGAACTCTGACCAGGAGAATATAGTTATTTAATAGAGAAACCCCCATCTATTCCATGTATTTACAAATATATTGTTGATTGAGAGCTTAAAGAGAAGGTTAGGCTAGAATAAAATAGATAGCAGTTTTGATAACCCAAAGATAATGTACATTTATTGAGTAATCATGAAGGTCTTTTCTGTTTATGTTACAAGTTTCCTAATCTTTAGGATGGAAATTACAATTGTCATTTGCTGACTTCTTTAGGTCTCTCTACATCAATCTTCTGGGACTCTGGGCAATCCTCACCTGCTCAGTGCTTTGTGGGCTCGCCCTATATTCCAGGTACCATGACTGTGATCCTTGGACAGCCAAAAAAGTGTCTGCACCAGACCAGGTTCAGTACCATGTCTTTCTTACATGTGCATTAAGGATACCCAGAAAGCTTATTAGCTGGGAGGAAAGAGTGTTCCTGTTTTTGTAGAGAAATAGCAAATGAATACAATGTAATTGTCTTTAATTTCTATAAAGCATTTGACAAAAACTTATTTTAGCAAATATAGTAATGAAGAATGCTGTATCCAAGATTAAAATAGTGAAACACCTGGAAAAATTTCAAGCCAAGGGATCAATAGAAATAGCTCAAGGCTGGGAATAGAAATGTAAACACAGTTCAAGAAAAAAAAATCCATGCACAAACCATGGTAGTGTAGAATATTTAAGGTTATTCTCATATCACTTATTTATCAATGGCTTACCTTCCAGTTTTTAATTGATAGATAAACAGATCTAATGAGTGAACATTTACTAAGTACCAACCATGCGATGAGATTCTATGCTCAGAGCTTTGCATGCTTTATCTCTTTTAATTCTCACAACCCTATAATTCTAATTTTAGAGATGAGGAAATGAGTAGCTCTCAGAGAGGTTATATAACTCGCTCAAGGTTGCATAGCTAATAAATAAGAATAGCTGCAAGCACTTATCATACTGTTATAAGTGCTTTATATAAACTTCAACTCTGAATCCTTACAGCCACACTCTGAGGTAGGTGCTATGATTATCTCTCTTTCAAAGATGAGGAAACTGAGAAACAGACAAATCATGTAACCAGCAAGTAAACCTGGAACCAAAATTCAAACTCAGGCAGGCTGCGACCAGAGTCCTAACTTTGAACCTCTGTGCCATATACAACCTTTCAGAAAGTGTAGCTAGAATTCAAATCCAGGGCTGCTAGACTCTAAAGCTTGAGTTCTTGTTCTCAGAGTTCTTGCCAAAAATCTTTTTTCTTTTAAATGTTTATTTTTGAGAGACAGAGTGTGCATGAGCAGGGGAAGGGCAGAGAGAAAGGGGGACAGAAGATCCAGATCAGGCTTTGCGCTGACAGCAGAGAGCCTGATGTGGGGCTCGAACTCACGAACCATGAGATCATGACCTGAGCCAAAGTTGTCAGGAGCTTAACCAACTGAGCCACCTAGACACCCCCACCCCCGCAAGTTATTTTCTAAGACTAGTTTGTAAATCAAGTGCCCAGGGGACTCATGAGAAAGAAGATAGACCTGCATTCTATGTTGGTGTAAATGCATCACATACTCCTAGAAAAATGCAACTTTGTGGGATTAGAAAATGACAGCCTCAATGAGCTGTGCATCTCAACCCTATCTTCACGTGTGTCCTCCTGTTAATAAATAGATCTTTCCTATTTGCTCAGAGAATCTAAGAAGCATGTTTCCTCTGAAGATGGAGGTACTCTTCCCTTATGTTCTCTCTAGTGAAGAATATTTTGTTCTTTTTGTCAATGTTTATTGTTTGTAGTTTATATAATGAGGACAGTAAGGATGTTAAAAATGTTTTTCATTTATCTTATCCTACCCCTGGACAATCACAACAGAAAATGTCTACAATCTCCTAACCTTGAGACTCGTTATAGAATGACAATGGGGGTGGAGTGGGGTCTTGCATGCATGCACCTGTCATTTTGAGAGCCTGTGCTGATTTTTTTTTTTTTTTAAGAAAGCTTTCCTCCGAATTGGATGATTCCAGTGTTGTGTTGATTGTTAAGGAGTTAATCCAATTAACAGTTCCCTGGGGATACAATGCACTTAGGCACAGTCAGTAGAAAGTCAGGTCAAAATCTTAACCTGAGGAGAGCAAAGATATATTTCTGTGACACTCTGCTGGACCTCACCGTGAGGAAGCAAGATTAGTGTTTAGATATAGTTTTACTACTTTTCTATCTGTCGGTCTTGCTAGTTTTACCTATACCTGAGGGGGTCATTCAGAATATGAAATATCACCCCAAAAACTTTTGAGAAAGTTGATGATAGGGTAGAGGATTTTAGATCTTGTTATAGCAGTAACAGTGGAAACTTGACTTTTGCTTTATATGGAATACTGCTTAAAGTGACACTTTTAAGATATCTTGGGAAAATTTGGTCTTGATTTCATAGAGAGATAACTGCTGTTCTCTCTTTCTGAGAATAAAAATTTAGTAAGCTTTGGATAAAGTGGAGAAATTCTTAAAACAACTCAACACAGACCCTTGTAACAGTGGGTTAATAGTAACAAACTATTGTTAAATGAAATCAAAGAGGCTGATAAGATAGGATATGCCATCCACTCTATACTATCAGAGAAGGAATCAAGAATGTTTCAATGCAAATGAAGGGAATTTTTCCGAGAAAATTATCCTCTTAGTACCCTTTTTATTTAAAAATTAGTGTTGCCAAAAGACTGGCATGTAACATAGTACTGAAGTAATACACTTTCCCATCCTTATTTAATATTTATTTTTTTTAAGTAACTTATCAAAAAGTAAGTTGATATCAGGAACTTTTCAAAAAGAAGCAAGTTTCAGAAACTTCCTGAGGGTACTCTCCACTTGTCACTATTTCTCACACTATATGCAGCTGTAATTACACTTTCAGTTCTGGGTAGTGATTGAAGTTCACAAAGATATCTTTGAGTCATCAAGTCAAGTTAAATTAATTTAACTATGCTGTTTGCTTAAGCATAGAGGTATGTAAAGTATTTCCTTTAAATTGTTTTATTATTCTAAAGAATGAGAACAGCTACTTTAAAAAAATTTTTTTTAATGTTTTTATTTATTTTTGAGACAGAGAGAGAGCATGAGCAGGGGAGGAGCAGAGAGAGAGGGAGACATACAATCCAAAGCAGGCTCCAGGCTCTGAGCTGTCAGCACAGAGCCTGACGCAGGGCTCAAACTCACGGACTGTGAGATCATGACCTGAGCTGAAGTTGGACGCTTAGCCAACTGAGCCACCCAGGTGCCCTGAGAACAGCTGCTTTTTAATCAAGCATTTACCGTATTCCATGTACTATACTAACAGCTCTACATTTAACTTTTATAGCAAGTATATGGGATTCGTATTATTACCCCTCATTTACAGATGAGGATACTGAGTCTTAGAGAAATTAAGTAACAAAAACCACTTCTGTCTGAATCTAGAATCTGTATCCTTAACTACTGTGCTATTCTTTTAAGTGTTAGCAGTTAAATAATATAATTTTTCATATTTAGAAATTTCAATTATGTGGAATAAGTTCCATTAGTTCTTGAAGAACACAAGATAAATGATACATTAATAATTTTATTTGGTAGCAAATAGCACTCAGGAGTAAATTTTGGAATTTTTCAGCTCATGCCTTATTTGGTACTGGACATTCTACAAGATTATCCGGGTCTTCCTGGACTTTTTGTGGCCTGTGCTTACAGTGGAACATTAAGGTATGAACTATGACTCTAACAGTACATGGTTTCCCTATTGGGATCTTTCTTTTGTTATTGGATATTTTGGGGGATAAAGCTGAATTCTGAAAATGAGCACAAATAGGGCCAAGGGAGTAATCTACTCTGTGTATCCTGTTGTTCTCAGTTTCAGTCTTACCTCTGTGGACTAGCAGTCTATTATCCTCAGTCTCCACTTTTAACTTGGTCCCTGCTGTCTAATACATCATCATCTACCCTGGAGGGTCACTATAATAATGATCAGTTGGTGGTAGTTTTCACTGATTATCAAAAATGGGTACCTATGGTCTCAGTTTAAAATATATGGATAGATAAAGCATGGTCAAATGGAAAATTAGAATTAAAATCTCCTGTTACATGCTGAATAATATGCACTGCCCAAAGACTCTTGTTCTGTGTTTGAACTTACTTATTGCACTTTCTTCTAGTGTTTGTGCCAGGGATTTTTTTTTTTTTTTTTTTTTGACAGAGAGAGTGAGAGAGCATGAGCAGAGGAGAGGAACAGAGGGAGAGAGAGAGAATCCTAAGTAGGCTCCACGCACAGAGCCCAGCACACAGGCCTTGATCCCATGACCCCAGGATCATAACCTGAGCCGAAATCAAGAGTTGGACGCTCAACCAACTAAGCTACCCAGGTGCCCCTGTGCCAGGAAATTCTTGATTGACATGTACAGTGTATGTTAGTGAGGATCCAGGAAATTAATATTATTGATATTTATGGCATATGTTAGTGAGGATTTATGATAGTCCTTTCTCTTCACAAAGAAAAATAAGTTTTAAAGTCACTATATAATAGTATTGTGTAGTCTGTAGATTGTTTCCATAGACACTGAGAATTTATTGCAAAATGGAAGCAACATAAAATTGTCCTTTCTCACTATTAAGCCTATGGATGTTGACTGAATCATTCTTGGATGATATCAGTTTCCAGAAAGAAGATGTTGTGATCATGAAAAATATAGTAGAAATCTGGTTATATTTCAGCAATGACAGTTTGTTTCCCCCTTTCTTATTCCTACTTAAAGTATTATTAAAGTTAAAATATTATAAATCAAAAGTTTGATTTTCTCTTACAGCACAGTGTCCTCCAGTATTAATGCCTTAGCGGCAGTAACTGTGGAAGATCTAGTTAAACCTCACTTCAGATCACTCTCAGAAAGGTCTCTCTCTTGGATTTCCCAAGGACTGAGTAAGTTTCCATGTTCACAATTCTATTTTAGCCCTGGGAGATGATTTTTAGAGATACCAGAAATTCCTTTTCCTGGAAGACACAGAGTAAGAACCTCTGAGTGCAAGTGTATCTATGCATATGCATGCCTGTCACTAAACACAGTCATCCCATATTTGCAATCAAGATTTGGGAGACCCTTCAAGCGATTAATTGTCAGGGGGCCACAAAGAACAATTTCCTTATTTGGCTGTCCTTCTTTTTGAACTTCTTCTTAGCTACAGAAAAAAATCCAACCCTTTTCCTTTCCAAACTTTAGCCCACGGTTTTAAGAAATACCCTTAGTTTGGAGACAAGAGCCCACATTTTATTACCTAAGAGCTCACTGTCAGTTTAAAGTACATAGTCTGTGTGTATGAATTGAAGATAAACAGAGTGTTATGATTTTTGACCCATCTTCATTGTCTATTCTGTCTGTACATGTAGACTGCTCTAGAGATAGTCAGTAAAATTGTACAGGGAAGGCTCATCTTCTATTTATAGATGTAGGACCTTATGAGGGGTTAAATATCAGTTGAATGGAAAGGTTTAAAGACTCAAGTTCCCAGATGTCCCAAATGTAACAATCTGACTCAAAGAAATCTGGCTAGTGTACTTCATTTTTTGTTTTTGACGTTTTGGTTATATGTGTTCTGGAATGAATGACTAACAAACTTGTTTTTTCAAAAGAATCTTTAACTTCAACCCAATAACACTAATAGACTGCCAAAGAAATAGTAAATAATATTCTATTTTGAACCATAATTCTATATGTAATTGTGTTGACTATCATCTGGAATAAGTACTTAGTTTATATTTTTCAGTGTCCCTTACATTTTTAAAAAAAAAATTTTTTTTTGTTTATTTATTTTTGAGAGAGACAGAGACAGAATGCAAATGGGTTAGGGGCAGAGACAGAGGGAGACACAGAATCCGAAACAGGCTCCAGGCTCCAAGTTGTTAGCACAGAACCCGATGTGGGTCTCGAACTCAGGAGCTGTGAGATCATGACCTGAGCCAAAGTTGGACGCTCAACCGACTGATCCACCCAGGCGCCTGAGTGTGCCTTACATTTAAATAACATTGCATAATTTTATTAGGTGCCCAATTTTAATCCTGCAGCATAATTTCAGAATGGTACAATGCTTCCCAAAGAGCATTTAGATTGGTTTGTTATAGGATTATCAAAACTGTGTGGTTTTCAATAGAAGCTTTTGAAGGCAGACAGACCTAATCTTGCTCACCAATTTATTAGCCTTAAGCAAACCCAATAACCCAATACAGCTTGAATTTCTTTATATGGAAAATGAAACAAAATGTGTTCACCTTGCGGGTACAATGAGGTTTAGAGATAATGCATATAAAACAAGAGGCACTAGCTTGTGCTCAAGGAAGGATGTTGATAATGATTAATAACAAATCAACTCTGCTAGTGTAGATGAGGTTTTTGTTTACTTTGAAGGGTTATATAAAGTCATTATCTTGAGATATGTACAGTAAAGGTATCATAGAGAAGAACATGGCAAATGATTTGAATGTGTTTCCAGTAACTTTGATACCAAAACCCATAATGGTGACCACCCATGAGCAATCAGATAGAGAAGAATCAAGCTAAATATGTTAGAAATATCATTTACATTAGGATTAAGAGGTATAAAAATGATTGTATCTCAAGCTCTTTGCAAAAACTTAATGTAAGGTTTCCATTCAGGTGCAGAAAGGTCATTTACCCAACATAATTAACAAAGGTGTGAATGCTAGTGTAAGTCAGATAGATATAAGGAATGCACTAATTTTATGATGAGCAAAGCTATCATTCATTTTTTTGTTTTGAATTTTATGCGTGGGAAATTATATTGACTGATTTCAGGTGATTTGTGCTGAATGGAAGTCTTCAAAAATAAAAATCTGGGTGTGTGTGTGTAAATTTTAATTTAATTTCAAAAGTAAAACATGTACTTGGAGAAAATCTGGAAAATATTGAAAGCCAAAAGAGAAAAAAAAAATCCCATAATCTATAATCTGGCCAGCAGTGGTGGCTTGAGAATTTCTATAAAGTTGTGGGGAAACAATTTGGTAGAAGGGGTAATATCATACTTGTCTTTGATGCTATCTTTCTTGGCTAGTTTAACAAGAAAGGGTTGGGTATGTTGACTGAGATAACAAGAGGGCTAAAGGTCCTAAACCACCCCTTGGTGTAGATGAACACTTCCTGGGAGAAATGGACACTTCAAATCAGAACACTAATTTCTGATGTTTATTAATCCTCTCCCCCATCATGCTGTACACAGCAGAGCTGGATTGTGTCCTATTTCTGGCAAACTGAAAACAGAGACCTAAGCCTTCCTTTATAAACAAATGTTTATAGAGGATTAGATTAATAACACAATAGTTCTTAGCTTTAAAGTCCCCATAGTTAATGCTAGGGATTTTTCACTTATATAATCTAATGTAATTAATCCTGAGACACAATATCAGTGTTTTCTTTCCTCTTTGCACTCTGCTGATCTTGTAAGAAAACACCCCTTCCTTTTTTTTTTGTCTGGCTTTGATGTATGTGGCCATTTTTCACCACAATCATCACAATCATATTAATTACTTTGAATCAAAGGTGTGGTAGCTTATTCTATTGAGAATTCGAATCCTCTGGGTCTGAATTTTATACTGGCTTTTATATCATCCATCTAGGTGTGATGTTTGGAGCTCTGTGTATTGGAATGGCTGCACTGGCATCACTAATGGGAGCTTTGCTGCAGGTAAGAGCTGATTCTGGAAGCTTTGAATCCTAATCACTGAATTCTTGTTTTTTAAATGTTGATGTGACCATCCTTCCAGACTTCTCTATTCATCTATGTGTACACATATCAAGGAACAGAGATGACTAAATTCTTTAAATTTTTTAAAATTAAACTTTCTATTTTCATATAATTTTAGATTTACATGCAATTTTAAGAAATAATACAGAAATATCTCATATACCCTTTACCTAGTTTTTCTCAATGGCATGAGATTTAGAATGATGTTCTTTTTTTCCCCATTCCCCATGGATGTCCAGTTGTAAAGGCTATCTTTCTTCCATTGACTTACACCTATATTAAAAATAGGTTAGGGGGCGCCTGGGTGGCTCGGTTGGTTGAGCATCCAACTTTGGCTCAGGTCATGTTCTCACTGCTTGTGAATTCGAGCCCCGCCCTGCATCAGGCACTGTGCTGACAGCTCAGAGCCTGGAGCCTGCTTCAGATTCTGTGCCTCCCTCTCTCTCTTTACCCCTCCTCTGCTTGCACTGTGTCTCTGTCTCTCTCTCAAAAATAAATAAAACATTAAATTTTTTTTTAAAAAAACAGGCATATTTGTGTGGGTCTATTTCTGGTTTCTTTATTTTGTTCTATTGATCTGTGTGTCTATCCCTCTGTCAATACTACACAGTCTTGATTTGTATGGCTTTATAGTAAGTCTAGAATCAGGTAAACTAATTTCCACTTTATTCTTATTTTTAAAAATTGTTTTAGCCATTCTAGTTCCTTTGCCTTTCCATATAAAGTTTAGAATAATCTTCTCTATATCTAAAAATATGTTATTTAGATTGTGATAGGATTGCATTAAATCTGTATATCATTTTGGGGAGAATTGACATCTTTATTATGCTGAATCTTTGAATCCATGAATGTAGTATATTTCTTTATTTAATTAGATCCCTGGTTTTTCTCATCACCATTGTGTAATTTTCAGTATACAAGTTGTGTATGTATTTAGTTATATTTACACCTCAGTATTTCATTTTAAGAATTTTAAAAAAGTTTTTATTTTAATTTCAGTTAGTTAACATACAGTGGTATATTAGTTTCAGGTATACAGTATAGTGATTCAACAATTCCATACATTACCTGGTGCTCATCGTGACAAGTGGATACCATAATCCCCATTACCTACTTAATCTATCCTCCTACCCACCTCCCCTCTGGTAACCATCAGTTTGTTCCCTATAGTTAAGAATCTGTTTCTTGGTTCATTTCTCTCTCTCTCTCTCTCTCTCTCTCCCTCTCTCTCTCTCTCTCTCTCCCTCTTTCCCTTTGCTTGTTTGTTTTGTTTTAAATTCCACAAATGGGTGAAGTCATATGGTATTTATCTTCCTCTGACTGACTTTTTTCACATAGCATTATACTCTCTAGCTCCATCCACATCATTGCAACTGGCAAGATTTCATTCTTTTTATGGTTGGCTAATATTCCACTACACATACATGCAAATACACACACAACACATATTTATCCTTTCAATGGACACTTGGGCTACTTCCATATCTTGGCTATTATAAACAATGGTGCTATAAACATAGGGGTACAGGTATCTCTTTGAATTAGTGTTCTTGTGTTCTTTGGGTAAATACCCAGTAGTACAATTACTGGATCATAGGGTAGTTCTATTTTTAACTTTTTGAGGAACCTCCATACTGTTTGCCAGTATGCATGCCCAACAACAGTAGAATGCACCAGTTTCCATTCCCACCAATTGTTCATGATGGTTCCTTTTTCTCCACATCCTCATCAATACTTAGTGTTTCTTGTGTTGTTTTTAGCCATTCTGATAAGTGTGAGGTGATATTTTATTGTAGTTTTGGTTTGTATTTCCCTGATGATAAGTGATGATGAACATCTTTTCATGTGTCTGTTGGCCAATGTCTTTGGAGAAGTGTCTGTCCATGTCTTCCGCCCATTTTTTATTGGGTTATTTGTTTTTTGGGTGTTGACTTTTAGAAGTTCTTTAAATATTTTGTATACTAATCCTTTATCAGATATGTCATTTGCAAATATCTTTTCCCATTCAGTAAGTTGCCTTTTAGATTTGTGCATTGATTTCTTCACTCTGCAGAAGCTTTTTATTTTGAGGTAGTCTCAATAGTTTATTTTTGCTTTTGTTTCCCTTGCCTCAGGGGACCTATGTAGAAACAAATTACTACAGCCATTGTTATCAAAATTAACTACCTGTGCGCTCTTCTAAGATTTTTATTGTTTAAGGACTCACATTTAAGTCTTTAATCCAGTTTGAATTTATTTTTCTGTATTGTGTAATAAAGTGGTCCAGTTTCATTCTTTTGCATGTAGCTGTCCAGTTTTCCCAACACCATTTGTTGAAGAAAGAGACTGTCTTTTTCCCACTGGATATTCTTTCCCGCTTTGTTGAAGATTAATTGAGCACATAATTGTGGGTTTATTTCTGTGGTTTCTATTGTGTTTCATTTATCTTTTGTCTACTTTTGTGCCAGTACCATATATACTGTTTTGATTACTACAGCTTTGTAATATAACTTGAAGTCTGGAGTTGTGATTCCTCCAGCTTTGCTTTGCTTTTCTAAGATTGCTTTGACTATTTGGGGGTCTTTTGTGGTTCCATATAAATTTTAGAACTGTTTGTTGTAGTTCTGTGAAAAATGCTATTGGTGTTTTGATAGGGATTGCATTAAATGTGTAGATTGCTAGGGTAGTCTAGACGTTTTAACAATATTTGTTCTTCCAATCCATAAGCATGGAATGTCTTTCTGTTTCTTTGTGTCTCTTCAATTTCTTTTATCACTTTTTTATAGTTTTCAGAGAACAGGTCTTTTACTTCTTTGGTTAGGTTTATTCCTAGTATCTTATTATTTTTGGTGCAATTGTAAGTGGGACTGTTTTCTTAATTTCTCTTTCTGCCTCTTCATTATGGCTGTATAGAAATGCAACAGATTTCTGTACATTGATTTTTGTATCCTGTAACCTTACTGAATTTGTTTATCAGTTCTAGGAGTTTTTGGCTGGAGTCTTTCAGGTTTCTATATATAAAATCACGTTATCTGCAAATATTGAAAGTTTTACTTTTTCCTTATCAATTTGGATGCCTTTTATTTCTTTTTGTTATCTGGTTCCTGTGGCGAGGACTTCCAGTACTACGTTGAATCAAGTGGTGAGAATGGACATCCTTGCCTTGTTCCTGACCTGAAACAGTTTTTCCCCAGTAGATATGATATTAGCTATGGGTTTTCTCATATATGGCCTTTATCTTGTTGAGGTGTGTTCTTTCTAAACCCACTTTGCTCAGGGTTTTTTTTTTTT